AATAGTTCTGATGAACTTTCCTCCTTGGTACCTTGACTACATGAATTTAAGTGTACTACAAGATTGGCAATTTTACTGTTGACCTAGCTTGATGTAATTATGTTCTATTCTAACAGTTTCTTTTCTCACACTTCTTACCTGTGACACTCTTTCAGTTTCCTGTCAGCTACAATCTTCAAAATTATAAAGGCGATACCAATCGCCATCTTCTGTTTTCCTAAATCCTGTTCTGTTGTCATTTCTCCTCACTAAAGTCTTCTCATTTTCTTTCACTCCCAGTAATCACTTGTGTCTTAGTGGCATTATCACCTTGCTTGTGGGTGAAATGATTTAAAAGGAAAAAAAAAAAGCAAACAGTAACAATTTTTGCTTGGAAATTGAAGTAATGTGCAAACTAGTGTTGGCCTAGTGGAAAATTGTTTGGTTTGGTTTATAGCATATTAACCTCTATGGGTTATTCAATGCTGACAAGATTTTTATTGCTGGTAATATTTTTTATCAAAAAAGTATTGCTGGTATTAAAACCTATTTTTATACTTTCATAGTGTTTTGACCCCTTTTGTGCTGGTTAAATATTTGCCCATAGCTGGGACCCTGACAGGTGCCACCACCCCGGGTCAGGGTGGACCTAGGAACACCAGCAATTAAGAAGTGGTTCTATGCTCCTCAAAACCCACTGTTAAATGTAGTTTATCATCTTACCCAGGATATGGGTGTAGTTTATTGTCATGGCCAAAACAGAGAATATTAAGTTCTCTTAATTCCAATTGCTTTTCATTAATTCATTCATATAGAGAAGGGATGGTCAAAATTACTCGCTGTAAAAGCCGTATACGATAAGGTTCAAATGTTTGAGAGCCACAAGACATGAATAAAATTTACACATGTTTTTGCTATATACACATTAACATTAACGTTTTAATATCAATGGAGTCTCAATTAATAACCAGTAAATAATTGTAAAGCTAGAAATTTTTCTTATTTACATTTTCATATTAACTGTGATGAAAAAAGGAGCTCAGCCAACATAATACCACAAGTCGCATATTAAGGTCAAAAGTCACAAGTGGCTTTGCAAGCCGTGGTTTGGCCACATCTGGTATAGACTCTGTAATTTTTTATAGAATCCTTATTTTCTTTTGAGCATTTAAGTAATCCATATGGCTAGGATTTAAATGCAAAATATCTGTAATATAAAGTTTCTGGAAAACAAAAAAATTATTTGAAACCATCCATGTACTTTTGCTACAAAATACATTTAATATAAATGTTTCAATAAATATCAATTTGTCATTTACATTATTATCCCATCCTTTTTTTGCTGTGAATGTCTTTCTTTTGTCTGCCTTCTTTACAACTATGACCTTTCCTATCTTTTCTCTTTCTTCTTCAGCTCTTTTCTTTTATTCTCTTTCTCTTCCTATATATATATATATATATATATATATATACACACACACACACACACACAAGTATATAATTGGTGTATATGGAATGAATTCCAATAACCAACAATTACTATTCTTAAAAGAGTGCTCAATACAAAGTAGAGCAGATATAATTATTTATTTAAAAAAATTTATAACATAAATATGTTATAAAATCACTACAAAAATAGATTTTTTTTTTACATTCAACATCATCACTTGATAAGACACCGGGGTGCTGAAACAAAATGGCTATTTTTGTAGTGATTTTATAATATATTTATGTTATAAATTTTTAAAATAAAAATTATATATATATATATATATATATATATATATATATATATATATATATATATATAATTTTAAGACATTTTTATGTTTATACATTCTTTTTAGAGGTACAAATATTTAAGTAAATGCTCTGTTTATAATAAACAGTATTAAACACATTTACCGGCCTGAATGTCTGAGAAATTTTCACAGAAAATATTCATCCTCCAACAGGATTCGAACCTGTATCCTATATGGAACTGCCATTTAGCTTGACGTGCCTTTAACCGATTTGGCCACAGAGGAGTGTTTGGTTAGCAAGGTCGAATTTACTGTATTTGAACTTCAATCTTCTATGAATCTCTCACGTACATTCATATCTGCTCATGGCATATCAAATGTAAACAAATGACGTCACACATTATGAAATGGACAAAGTCCGACAATTATTTTTTAAGACATTTTTAAGTTTATATATTCTTTTTATAGATACAAATATTTAAGTAAATGCTCTGTTTATAATAAACAGTATTAAACAACATTTACCGGCCTGAATGTCTTTAGGGATGTAAGCGTACTCACCATGCTTGGCCAATTGTTGGTTGGTGACGCTACTTAACCCATAGTTGGAGGTTTTGAATTTAGAGTGGTGGTCCTCCTTGAACAGTTGTCACCCAAGGCTATAGAACCCAGTCTGTCTTGCTATTTGCCTCTCTAATTCATCAATCCATTAATACCTCTTCTCTCTCTCTCCCCCCATCATATATATATATATATATATATATATATATATATTATATTATATGTGCGTGTTCCTCTTGGGAGTGTGTGATTTTGGGAGGGGTGGGCATATATTCCAATTCTTTCAGCATCATACATTAAGTTCAATGGCTGAAAAGATGGGAGAAATTCAAAAAAGAAAAGAAAAAGAGGAAACATAGTATAATGTTGTTGTGGGTTTGAGGATAGATATTTTACATAAAAAGTTTAAAAAAAAAAAATCATGGATATCTCAACTCACCACCCCCACAATCTTTATCTTTTTGAAAAGTTATAGGGATATACAGGGTTTGGGTTGGATAATAGATAAGTAAATACCTTAGAGCTTTACAAGTATCAGGATGACAGAATGTCAGGTGAATAGGAGGTTGATGCTTTTTATATATATATATATATATATATATATATATATGGAGGGGGTAAACCTGAACAGGTGACATGAACATATGGGTTTGTAATATATATATGGATGAAAATGCCAAACAGGTTTTTTTTGTATTCTTAATGTTAAGCACTCCACAGATTATCAGCCATGTTACAACAGAAAATTCTTCTTCCATCATATTCTCATACATAAACGCTTGCATATATATATATATATATACACACACACATTTATAATATATATATTTATATTATTTATTGTTTTTTTTTTGTTTTTTTTTTAGTTCCACCTCCCTTCAAAGTCTAGGTGATCATGGCTCTCAGCAATTTTTTTTCTTTATTAACTATGAATTACCATAACTTCTTGGGAAAGATAAGGAAGTGGTTTTCACTTGCCTTCTCCATGGATTTGAATTCAGAGTAGTCCTTCTCTAAGAATGGCTGCAACTCAAGGCTAGAGAGCCTAGTCTACCTTTTTATTTAACCTATATCTTAGGGGTTGGAAGAAGATTTATGCATTTCCCAAGTTTATTTGTAGGAACACAAAAGACTTGGCAGGAATTTGAACTGCTTTCTGATTCAACTTTATGAACAAATAATTTACACTATATACACATTTTACATACACACAGGAAACAAATTTTTGTAATGCCTGTTTGTAGGAGAGACTTTGTAAATCACAGATATAACAATAGTAATGCCTTCAAACAATACATAGTCAGATGTCGCTGATTCCCATATATATATTTTTCCTTTATCTGTCATGTGATGTAATTATTTCAAGATGAGGTAGACTGGGCTTGATCTATGGCGATCCATGTTCAAACCCAAGTATTGGCAGTGACACTTTATTCCTATATGATACAAATCAATTTAACCATTGTATTTAAATGAATATATAAGTATGTTTGCTAGTATATGTCTATACTTATCTATTTCCTTTGTGTCATGTCCCTTTAGGATATGGGTGATCATGTCTACATAACTGCCTCACTTTTGTAGCTGTAAGTAGTGTTTGTCTCTTTACTATCCCTCCCAGTCCCTATTCTGCCATATGTGTCATCCACTTACACAAGCTGATTAGGTAGGTTGATCCATGTTTTCTTCTATCCCTCTTACCTTCAAACTTCCTTGTGAGTGCTAAATTCTCTAAGCCCTCTTTCCTCATGATGTCCCAGAAATTTCAACTGCCTCTTTCTGATTCTAAATAAGTGTCTTTTATATATATATATATATATATATATATATATATAAATAAAAAATGAGTGTTTTTGTGCAAATGTATATGTTTATGTATAAATTGCTTTGTGTGACTAACCAAGATTCAACAGTTGTGTAAGAATAAGTGACATGTATAAAAATATGATAAAAATGATTGAATTTCTTAAATCCTTGCACACAAACACCAGTACCTCATGTCTACACACCACACGCACAGACACATATATATATATATATATATACCTTAATCAGCTTATATGTAGGGTGTGTAAGGTATTTGACAACACATTGAAGACCGTATGAAAAAACTACCACATCTTTATAAACAACCAAATTTAAAAATTTGGAAGGCAGATGCAGTAATGATTGGATTACATGTTTATTTGATATAATCGCCTTCAGGCACAATGATGGCTTCAATATGGTATCAATTGTTAACATGCATGCATCACATGGTCTGTATTGATATTGGATATTACTCATGGAATGATGACTTTCAGGGAATGAGTCATATTGTGGGAACACTGATTAGTCTCTCGTTCAGTAACATCCGACATGTAATAGTGAAGGAGACTGAGCTCTGGCAAGAGATGGCCACATTTTTGGTATGATGTGTTCAGATTGGCTATCCAACCATCATTCACCACAGCTATATAAGTAAGTGCAGACTCCTGCTGAAATACATATTGGCTCCACAACTGTTTCCAGCATCTCAGTGTATGCCCTTCACTACTCATCACCTCTAAAACCATCATAGAAGCAGAAAACTTGGTGTGCATAATATTTGTGATATCAAAAGGATTTACACATAAACACCTGTCATTCCATTTCAGTTTTGATCCTGGTTGAAAATTTTTCCTTCGGAAGCAAAAAATGAAAAACGACTATGCCATTTTCCCTGAATGACGTCCGACATCAATAGAGACCGTGCCGGGTTCCTCGAGTGACGTCCGACACCAATAGTGACCGTGCCGGGTTCCCGGTGACACCGACACCAATAGAGACCGTGCGGGTTCCCGAGTGGCGTCCGACACCAATAGTGACCGTGCGGGTTCCCCGGTTCCGACACCAATAGTGACGGGTTCCCCAGTGACGTCCGACACCAATAGTGACCGTGCGGGTTGGTGACGTCCGACACCAATAGTGACCGTGCGGGTTCCCGTGGCGTCCGACACCAATAGTGACCGTGTGCTTCCCGGGTTCCCCACCAATAGTGACCGTGCCGGCTTCCCGAAAGGACGTCCACCAATAGTGACCGTGCGGCTTCCCAGGTTCCGAGCCAATAGTGACCGTGCCGGGTTCCCCGAGTGACGTCCGACACCAATAGTGACCGTGCCGGGTTCCCCGAGTGACGTCCGACACCAATAGTGACCGTGCCGGGTTCCCCGAGTGACGTCCGGAAAGTGACGCTTCCCCGAGTGACGTCCGACACCAATAGTGACCGTGCCGGGTTCCCCGAGTGACGTCCGACACCAATAGTGACCGTGCCGGGTTCCCCGAGTGACGTCCGACACCAATAGTGACCATTTGTATCTAATATCCTCATTGAACACATTGTAGATTGGGTCCTTGGGCACCTTGAGATCTCTGGCAATGGCCTTCATGGACATTTTGGGATTTGCATCAATAATGTTCTGAACCCTCTGTATGAATTGTATTGTCTTGATACTGTCCAAATGATGTGAATACTTTTTGTGTTTGCCGTTGATGCTCTGAAAAGATAAGAATACATTGTTGCATAATCTCTCTCTATCTATCATATATATATATATATATATACACACACACACACAAACATATCACTTGAAGATTTGCAATAGCTAAAATGGATATCACATGTAACTCGGCAGAAAATGACAACGTAATCAAAATGTTAACATTCCATATTGCTTCAAACAAAGGGTTAGGAAGGAAACTCCCATCAATACTGGAAAAAGCAATAAGAGCTACTGGACATGAGTAATCTATTTGCCTGAAAATTAAATAGATAGATTTTATAGATTTCAGCTAAACACTTACTGCTTGGTCAGTGAATGTTTCTTTCTAACTAATATTACCATGAATACACACACACACACACACATATATATATATATATATATATGAGAGAGAGATACAAATTTTAGTGATAGAAAAGTTTTTTTTTTTAAATCATTTCAGCCTAAGCAAGACAGTAATGCTATTAAGGTACAAGAAGCTTTTGGGAATTAAAGAGAATGAGAACTTTAGAAGGAACTGGAAACAAGGGATAAATTCCTACTCCTGTTTAAAAGACTGGGGAAAAGTGGAAACTGGTAAATAGGTGAGCCTAGTCAATATCTCAACTTAAGATAAGGATTAAACTATGAATCTTTATCCTTGGAGCAATAAGGAAGATCCATCAGGGTAAAGATGACTGATTATAAGTGAATGCCTGCAAATTAAGACAAAGTACAAGTTTCTAAGTGTCACAAATTGTGGTTGAACTCCATACTGTACTTCTCCAAATGAATGCCATAACTACTTCAACATTAAGTTGAAAGGAAAACATTTGAATGTCTGGGAATGCACATGTGAAGTGTAATGTCTACTTTGGTGCCAGTGTTAAGTGTAGGGCAGCATTTCTTGCTATTTTGCATCAAAACATCTCTGTGCTTTGATTATAATTTCTTTAATGTTTTCTTTTTACTTCAGTAAGCAAAAGAAAAAAAATGTAGCCAAGTACTTTCTGTTGTAAATGTACCAACATTATTATAGTACCTAATCTTACTTGCTGGTAACCATCTCAGTTTCCTGTCCTCTTTCTATAGTCAACCTTCAGGAGCTCAGGTAAATTATTGCTTTGTTCAGATTCTTATCCCAAGGAAATAATTTTGCAATGATTGGTTTGTGACCAAATTCATCAATACTTTCAGAAAGCAAAAAAAAAAAAAAAAAAAACTTGCTGAAGGAATTTTTCTCAGAAATGTCATACATTGAACCAACACATAAGCATATATCCTCCTCCTTACCAAAGAAAACAATTGACCTTCAAAAGTTGAAGTCAAGCACTAACTTCCTTGTTTTGCTGGGCAATGATAAGCCTATTTGGCATGTTTTGGTTAACTTGATGTAATTGGGGTGGGGATTAAAAAAAATGAGAGAGCCTAATATCTTGTAAACATACTTATTCAAACTCAAGTGTGTGTGTGTGTGTTTCCTCAATAGGAGTAGATAGGTTAGCCTTTCATCAGTCTTTTGAACAGGAGTAGAGGTTTATTCCTTGTTTACTGTTTAGGGTTGGGTTTCTGGTTCCTTCTAAAGTCTATTTCACCCTTAGACTTCTAATGTCTCCACCATTAACTTACTATTTATCTTTTCTTGTTTGCCTATTGCCCAGTTCACACTGCTGTGTTTTTTTTTTTTTTTTTTTTTTTTTTAAAACAGAGTAAAGGTTTATCCTTTGTTTCCTGTTGAGGATTGGGTTTCCAAGATCTAAAGTCTCCTTCATTCTCTTTCACTCCCAGTGGCTCTTTTCATATTAGTGGCATCATTGCCTTGCTTGGGGTGAATTGATAAAAATTATATATATAATGTGTCCGTCTGTGTACAAAAAGGATCTTTTACAAAGCAATACACAAAGTTTATTAGTTGTTGTTTATTGTAATAAGTCTACAAAGCTATTTTTTTTTTTACTTAAAGAATCCAGTTTTAATTAAATGAGAAAGTAATTAGGTGAAAATTTTTACACCAATTTTGCAATTTTCTATGATACATTTTCTGATACTGGACATTGTTTTGTTTTTTTCCAGAAAGGAGATAAATCAATGTTGATACAATGTGGGAATATATATATATATATATATATATATAAAACAGATACACCCATGTGTACATACACATTTTTAATGATAATATAGAATTATCTCTTTGAATGTTATGAAGATAAAAAATTATATTTACCCTAAAAATGTTTTAAAAAATGTAGATAATGCACATATTACATATGATAACATGTTTAACCAAATTAGCATTTTTTTTTTTTTTTTTGATAATTCGATATATATAGTTAAAGTGTGCAAATAAACAAAGTTTTTACATTCTACATCAAAAACTAATCATTGCCTGATAGGATTTTTAAAACACCTACAAGAGTTACATAGAAAATATTGCTTACAGGTGTTTTCTCTCATTGCTATTCAATGTGGGTTTGCTCTATCAAATACTTTAACTACAATGAAAGATATTGCATTTTCATATTAGAAATGCTGCAAACATTCATGTGGTTGAGATGGAAGTATTAAAATTTTGTTGCTATTAATACAATCATATTCATATTTTATAAGTGTTCAGATTTTAATCCTTTCCCCAGTATAGACATATATATGTTTTTACTGAAAGTATCTTTTTCAGACATGAACGAATAAGCATGTCCAAAACACAATGTTCAAAAGCCAGCTACAGACGTGTTTATATATTGATCTTGATTCTTTTTATGCTCTTCTGAGCTTGAAACGAATCCAGTTGTCAACTCATATGTCTGGTAGAGGCGTTAGTAACTGCTTGAGTACTTCAAGGTGCCTTAGTTTCTTATTTACTATATTAAAAACAAGACTAGCAGGGATCTGTTATTCAGCTCTTAGCTGATGTTGAACTCTCTGCCTTCAGGCAGGGAGGAACCCAGACAAGGCTATGCCAAAGGGCAGTATCTCATCCAGGGAGGTAGACAGACCTGAACCCATTTATGCGGGGTTTACAGGGAATTTTTGGCCAAGCCTATGGGCTCAGATTAAATTCGACCTTGTGCCACATCCTACTCCATGGGGAGGTTGGTAAATATTACTATATTAAAAACAAATAAAAAAATTTGTCTGAAAATGACCAATTTTTTTCTGAAATAATTGGTGGGAAAGGGGTTGAACAAAAACCCTTTTCATGAAGCTTTATTTAGTCATTTGTTGAATGGTTCATATTCTGATTAGTGAGATGGTAATTTAGACATATCATTTTTAATAATTTTCATTAAACAACTTTCATATTTTATCACTTTAAAGTACTTTGTAAAGCATCACTTTATTAAAAATGAATATGTATCATAGTTGTCCATTAGGTCCAAAGAATACTTTCTCAGTGGATTTGGAGGCGACTCTACAAAGACTGAAGGTGTAAACTGGAGCAGTGGGACACTTTAAATTAGTAGTGCAATTCTCTTTTATGAGGCTGGGCTTTTTTTGAAGCTTGAAGATTTATTTTGATTTGTTTGTTTAGTGGCATATCAACTCCTTATGGATCATTTAATGCCAAAATTAATTTTCTTGAGAGATTGGAAGTAATAAAAATGTTATTCTGCTTTCACAATTGAATACATGGTAGATGATACTCAGCTTCTGTGCATATACATGTTTCTGTGGACATAATTACTAGAGGTACTGATGTGTGTTTTGTGTTGTAGTTTTGTTGAAGTTATATTTCAGAATACAGTTTGATTTAAGAAATTGTAGGATATTATATGGATTAATGACCTGAAAGAGTTCTTTCATGTTGGTTGCTTTGGTTGATATTGTTTAGTGGTATATTAACCTATGGGTTGTTTAATGCCAAAATTAAAATATTTTGAATACAATTTTATAACTTCAATTAAATATATTTTGAAAACAATTGTCTTTAACTACAGATAAAATGTATTGTTAGTAATTTTACAATAAATATGTATTGCCGGTAATTTTTTTTTTATATAAAAATGAATTGTTGGTATTTTTACTATTAAAACTAGTGGGACTAGGAACAACAGCAATTAAGAGGTGTTTCCACACTTTAGAAAACCTCCAATCTCCCAATCAGATGCCTTACTGCTGGATGTAGTTTATCATCATGAAGCTTGCAGAAGTTTGGTGGGCCTGCCAACACAACCATTCAGCAGCACAATAATCTAACTTTTTGGTTTGATCTTAGGCCAATAGAGGTTAGTTTTCATTGAGTATTTTACCATTTCTTTGGTCAGCTTTGATGTCTTCTGTCACATAGTAACTCTCCATTGAACAGTTCTTTGGTAATGCGCAATTGCTCCATGCAGATGACATGTCATATCCATCAGACTTTTGCCCTTATATCGGAGATGTAATGATGATGAATTTTCCAAAAAGTCCTGTCAGGAAAAATTTATAAGGTGTGGGGGATTATTGCATTGGGGTAATTCCAATATTTGATGGCATGAAGAACTGTTACAACTGGAGACTTCCAGGTTGGAGTAGATGACCAGTGCTTATACGTGTCAGATCCATGCTTTGATGTCCTCCACAGCATTTGTTGACAATACCTTCATGCCTGTTGGATCTCTAGCAGAGCTCATCTACTGACTGTGCTGGGAATCGGTCTTCACATGCAATATGACTGACAGACCACAAATTATCAAGGGTTTGGATCTGTTGACTACCCTCACCTTATTTGCCTGTCAGTCAAAGTGGTTTACTGGAATATGGCCATTGTTACATGCAAAAAACTATTTAGAGCCACAGGTAAGTGTTGAGTGTCAGGTGGGAACTAACATGAATGAACTACTCCCAAAAATA